TGGTTCTCAAACCCGATCCCAAGGGATCGGTACTGTTCAAATTCTACCATCTCTCTTTGTTACTTTTGTCCTATATGTACCTACTTGCCCATTTAATCTACTGCCAGTCATTCGTTTAACTCGTTCCCTTATTTGTTCTATCACTTTTACTAACAGTGATGTTATTCTGCAGGATCGAAGTTCGGGACAGACAATTGGCGTCGGATGTGAATCTCAAGGCCTCTACTACTTCTCTACGTCATCTACCACATGCTCCACCACAGATTCTCCACTCGTTATACATGCGCAGTTAGGTCATCCAAGTCTTCCTAAGCTACAAAAGTTAGTGTCCAGTTTATCTAAATTATCCACTTTACAGTGTGAGTCTTGTCAATTAGGGAAACATACTCGTAGTCACTTTTCTGATCGAGTCAATAAACGGGTTGCGTCCCCTTATGCTTTAGTTCACTCCGATGTTTGGGGTCCATCGCGTACCGTGTCTACTTTTGAGTCTAGGTATTTTGTAACATTTATTGATGATTTTTCACGTTGCACGTGGCTATTCTTAATGAAAAACAGATCTGAATTATTTTCTATTTTTGAACAATTTTATCGTGAAATAAGAACCTAATTTGGTTTGTCCATTTGTACCTTAAGTGACAATGCACGTGAATATTTATCCCAACAATTTCAAACGTTTATGTCATCCAATGGTATTCTACACCAAACATCTTGCCCTCATACACCTCAACAAAACGGGGTAACTGAACGCAAAAACCGACATCTCGTAGAAACCACTCGGACTCTACTTCTCCATGATAATGTCCCTCTCAGATTTTGGGGGGATGTTGTGCTCACGGCGTGTTATCTCATAAATCGTATGCTCTCATATGTCCTTAATAATAAAATCCTTCATTCAATCTTGTTTCCAAACTCTCTTGTTCACCCAATTCCTCCTCGAGTCTTCGGGTCTACATGTTTTGTGCATAACCTCTCCCCAGGTCTTGATAAACTATCAGCTCGATCACTAAAGTGTGTCTTTCTTGATTATCATCGATCCCAAAAGGGTTATTGCTGCTACTCACACACTCTGTAACGATACCTGATATCGGCCGATGTTACCTTCTTCGAGTCTGTGCCATATTTTGCGTCCACCCAAGTCACTCTGGAACCCCTTCAGGAAAGTACTCTCACACCTCTTCCAGAAGTCCCATTTCCCATTATTCCCCATCACTCTAGGGAACTTGTCCCACGAAAAATCCCTACGGTTGACCCCCCCACTTCTCGTCCACTTCAAACATATCAGCGTCATAAACCAACGTTTGTCATACTTGTCCCTGAGGTTGTACATGTCACTGAGGTCGTACTTGTCCCTGAGGTCATTGCAGACTCTCCTCCGACGCTATCGCCATCACCGGATTCGATCCTGCAACTTGAGTTTGATCTTCTGATTGCCCTTCGCAAAGGTATACGTCAAACACGAAATCCTTCTCCACATTATATTGATTTATGTTATCATCGTCTTTCCCCTTTGCAGTATACTTGTTTGTCCTCTTTGTCTTCTGTTTCTATTCCTAAATCTCCAGGTGAAGCATTATCTCACCCTGAGTGGAGGCAAGCAATGATTGATGAAATGTGTGCTCTTCAAAGCAGTGGTACCTGGGAACTGGTTCCTCTATCCACTAGAAAATCTTTAGTAGGTTGTCGTTGGCTTTATACAGTGAAGGTTGGTCCAGATGGTAAGATTGATCGCTTTAAAGCTCGCTTGGTAGCCAAGGGATACACTCAAATTTTTGGGTTGGATTATAGTGATACCTTCTCGCCTGTAGCCAAGATGGCATCTGTTAGACTTCTTCTAGCCATTGCAGCCATTCGACATTGACCTCTTCATCAACTTGACATCAAAAATGCATTTATACATGGTGATCTTGAAGATGAAGTATATATGCAGCAACCACCTGGGTTTGTTGCTCAGGGGGAGTCATCGAACATGGTTTGTAGGCTACACAGGTTTATTTATGGTCTTAAGCAATCTCCGAGAGCTTGGTTTGGCAGAATCAGCACTGTAGTACAACAATTTGGTATGATCCGTAGTGAAGCTGACCATTCTATTTTTTATCGTCACTCAGTCCAAGAGTGTATTTATCTTATTATGTATGTAGATGATATTGTCATAACTGGTAGTGATGAGTCGGGAATACTCCAGTTGAAACAACATCTTTCAAATCAATTTCAAACAAAGGATCTTGGTAAAGTCCGGTATTTCTTAGGTATTGAGGTAGCCCAATCTAGAGATGGTTTGGTGATTTCTCAGCGGAAACATGCTATGGATATTTTGGAAGAAACAGGTTTGTTGAACACTAAACCAGTTGATACTCCTATGGATCCAAGTGTCAAACTACTAACCAATCAGGGAGAGCCTCTATCAGACTCGGGAAGGTATAGGAGATTGGTTGAAAAGTTGAATTATCTCACAGTCACTCGTCCAGACATTTCTTTTGCAGTCAGTGTGGTAAGCCAGTTCTTAAATTCCCCTTGTCAGGAACACATGGATGATGTTATCCGGATTCTAAGATACATCAAATGTGCTCCAGAAAAAGGTTTAGTGTATGAAGATAAAGGACGTACTCAGATAGTTGGACACTCTGATGTTGATTGGACAGGGTCACCAATTGATAGACGATCCACCTCTGGGTATTGTGTACTTGTTGGAGGAAACCTTATATCCTGGAAAAGTAAGAAACAAAATGTAGTTGCAAAATCAAGCGTCGAGGCAGAGTATAGGGCCATGGCAATGGCAACATGTGAACTCATTTGGTTAAAACAGTTGCTCAAAGAACTTAAAATTGAAGAAGCAAGACCAATGACACTTATATGTGATAATCAAGTTGCATTGCACATTGCTTCAAATTCAGTCTTCCATGAGAGGACCAACCATATTGAGATAGACTGTCACTTTGTCAGAGAGAAGATTGAATCTGGCAGCATCGTCACAAGCTTTGTCAACTCTAATGATCAATTGGCAGATGTGTTTACAAAATCTCTGCGAAGCCCCGGAACTAATTATATATGTGGCAAGCTTGGTGCATTTGACTTATATGCTCCAGTTTGAGGGGGAGTGTTGATATTTGTAAATATATGATGTTAAGAATATTTGTATGTAGAATAGTCTCACATCGATTATATCGTGTAATTAGTTGTAATCTCTCTATATATAATAAAGTCTTCGTAGTGCTTTCAAAACACACGGTTTAACCTAAATGTCTCTCAGTCTCTCCTAATTCAATAGAATTCAAACAATCAATGATGGAGAAATTTGAAATGACTGATCTCGGAAGAATGCACTACTTCCTTGGCTTAGAGGTTATGCAGCTTGACAGTGGAATCTTCATCTCTCAAAAGAGAAATGACAAAGAGGTCTTGAAGAAGTTTGGGATGGATAAAAGCAACTTGGTCCTAAATCCTACTGTTCTTGGGGTTAAAATTGATAAAGATGATATAGGTGTGACAGTAAACATCTCCATGTTCAAGCAACTTGTTGGTAGCTTGATATATTTGACCACTACCAGGCCGGATCTGATGTATGCAGTTAGTGTAGTCAGTAGATATATGGCCAAGCCAACTGAGATGCACCTTATGCAAAGAGAATACTGAGGTATGTGCAGGGAACTGTGTTTTGGAATTTTCTATCAAAGATCAGGCAATCAGGAGCTTGTGGGATACACAGACAGCGATTATGCCGGGTGTATCGATGACAGGAAAAGCACCTTGAGCTATGCCTTTATACTTAGCAATGCAGCGGTGGCATGGTCATCAAGAAAACAACCTATAGTCACACTCAGCACCACCGAAACAGAATTCGTAGCTGCGTCAGCTTGTGCCTGCCAACTGATTTGGATGAAGAGGATGTTGTCCAAGTTGGACTACAATGGAAGCAAAAGTCAAGTGATTTTTTGTGATAACAGTTCTACCATCAAGCTCTCAAAGAACCTGGTTATGCATGGCAACATTGGCAAGAGCAAACATATTGATGTGCGCTTTCATTTCCTGTGATTTAGTAAATGAAGGAAAGGTTCAATTGAATTATTGCAACACCAAACAGCAGATAGTTGATAACTTTACTAAGCTGCTCAAGCTTTAAGTCTTTCAAGAGCTCAGGAAGAAGCTTGGCGTATGTGACATCTCAAAGATAAACTAGACAGTCTAGTTTAGGGGGAGAATTCTTATGTTATTATTAATATTATTATTAATTGTTATTTGCTATATGTAACTGACTTAGTCTCTATTGATCGTGAGAAGATCATGGTTGTTAGTTTTAATTATGCCTAAATTGTAGGGAGTCAAATATGACTTAGTGGCCCTGATTCTTAGGAAACATTCAGTTCAGTTTTCTTTTTGTAAGCTATTTATATAGCAGTATTTCATTCTAATAAATAAGTCAGTTACCAGATTTGCTAACAGTTTCAACACATTATACAAGCAGCACCCACATTATTCGGTGTCGTCAAATAGCGGTTATTGTGGCAGTGGATCGTAGCAGAATTAAACAGGTTGTTGTTGTTGTTCTGTGATATGCTACTTAGTACAAAGTGTTGTTAATAAGCAGCTATAGTGGCGCAAAAGCATCATTGGATAGTGAAATTTGAACAAACTTTTATTTTCTACGATTCGTGAATCGAGATTGACAATACTGATGCAACTACAAGAAAATGGGTTAGCTAGCTTAGCTAGTGGGAAAATGTGTCTGGTTGTTGTACACTACAAAATATGTATTAGAGTTTAAATTTGATACACCGATAGAGTAAAATGTTTTACAGTGTCAATAAATTGCAGTATTCATATGTAACTTTAGAAATAGTTATAATAAAGTCAAACATTTTAATAATATGATAGTTATAATTGATTGACATCGTAACAAAACTTTGCCCTAAAAGTGTATATGAATTATATCCATTTTGTTATGCATACTCACAAAATGAACTGGAAAACAACGACATGAGTTTGAAAAATGAGATACAAACCACAGTAAGTCCAGCAAGGCCTTGCACGGGAATAGGTTGTGATCTTGGTTGTGTATCTCCAGTTCCAAGTTGTCCATATTCATTATTACCCCATGCCCACAAAGTTCCATCCTCTTGGAGAGCCAAATTATGAAAAGCGCCTACTGCTATAAGCCTTATATTCTCAAGACCTTGCACCCGAACCGGGACTGAAATCTGTTTACTGTAACATGAAGCAAAAATATTAGAATTAGCATAAAGCAGAAGTTGCTTTGTCAGCTAAAGAGCAGATAAGCATCCTAATATGTAAATAAATTCCTGCTTATATAATAGAGATACTGTTATGTAAAGGAGAAAATTTATAAAAAAAAATATACTCAGATTGGGGAAACAAGTTTCTGGTAGAAGTGAATAGACAATGTTGGGTGGAAATAGGCAATCTATACTGCAATTTGGTGTATTTAGTTTACACAATTCTCAGTAATTTTTAAAAGACTTCTTTGGCAAGTAACTTGGTTTGTGGTAAGATTGGCCGTTTGGCATCTTTCTGGTTTAAGCACGTGGCCATTTCGACAGCATTTCACTAATGAATATCTTACCAAGTCTTTTAGAATCCCGTGAATATCTTATATATGTATCAAACTTGATGCATATGATATATCCACCAGATTGAGGAAGAGCGATGATATATGACCCTGGTTTACTTTCCTTTATTCCTATTATATAGATGTTTTATTTCAATTAACTTGGTAGATATAGGCTCTCATGCTTATTTTTAATTAAGGGGTCTTGATTGAGACCTTTTAATTATAAATACATAAAGCTGAGGGGTTAACCTTACAAGTAATTCAGATTGATTATTTCCATATTTTCAACCGAAGCTACTCTAAAACAGCGTTTATGTTTGCCTTTTTTATAAAACATATCTGGTTATCAGAATGTATTAACCACGTTTATTCACAACAAAAAAAAAAACATTTTTTCTTTTAAAAACAGACAAATAAACCCTATATTGATTTTGTTTTTTCCCTTGTTTGCCTTCTGAGTTGGTCTTTTGTTTAGAAGGATTTCATATCCTACTTTCTCCTTGTATAAGTCATTCTCTTCATCTCAATAAGTTGTTTCTTTTATCTGAAAAGAAAAACTTACATATCACCGGGAGGCCACGGCTGACCCCATGTCCAAACATGCCCTTCGCGTGTAAGTACCACTGAATGAGTTCCTCCAGCAGCAACCTGCACCATAAGCAATTAGGAAAATATCAAACAGCAATCTAGAAAAGTCATTCATGATATTGAATATAGATATAATTTGTTGCATAATGGCTGAACAATATAAAAAACATATTCAATTTATTGAGCCAGTCTATACAGGTTAGGGTGGTAGCAGCACCAATTATGAATCTATGATTATGTCATACAGATGCAATGCAACCGCTAAAGAATAAACTGATATGAACAAGTAAAACATCCATGAATTATAAAATTAATTCTTTGAAATCTGGAAACCAGAAAGGAGGATAAAATAATCCTATTACTGAATAATTCAAGAAGGATTGAAGAGAATGGCTAATGGTAAGGCAGTTGAAGTCAATAGTATACCAATTGTGTTACGGAAGGGGTTAGGATAGAAATGTATAAGATAGCTCATAAAGTTGTTTAGCGAGATTATGAGGCTTAAAACATGTTGAATGGATGGAGAAATATTTTTATCTATAAGAACAAATGTGGCATACAAAACTGCACAAGTTATAGTGGGATTTAACTCATGTGCATGCTGTGAAGCTTTGAGAGAGTAGTCAAGTGGAGATCAAGACAAAAAACTCAATATCATAGAAAATCTATTTGACGTTATGTCAGGGAGATTGATCGTGAAATATTATTATCATTATTATGAAGACTGGTGGAGAGATATTGGAGGAATCGAAAAGACTACATAGTTTTCATTGACTTGAAAAATACATATGATAAAGTACTTCAACACATAGTTATCAAATCAAGATTCAAATTGTATATTGGAATAACGATTTTCTGAGTTGTAAATTGAATCATTTTACAAGTGGTAAGATACATTACCAATAAAAATATGACATTGTTAAGTAAATATACAGGTGAAGTGGAAAAACTAGATGTTGATTGATAGATCACATATGAACTTTAAAATAATTCAAGATTCAAGTCATGAATCAAATGACAAAAGTTCAATTTCTAGACTAATGTTTCACTCTCAACAAAACGAGAATATCTCAAACATTAAAGATAGATGAAGAATTTCATAGGAATTCTGGTTACATGAAAAGAATGATGAAATTAAGAAATGTACAGACCTAAAGATTTTCTCAGAAACAAAACAAAGGTAAATCATATTTGGTTCCACTCCCATCATTGTGTGGCATTGGAATACACGAGTTACCTGTCGAACAACAAGTTTGGGAGCACAAGGCTGAGGGATCACTATATCTCTCCTCAAAGGTCTACCGTTGTCATCCTTACGTTCGGGTTCTTCACCGCATTGCCCATATTCATTTCCACCTGGCATCAATTATATTTGCCTTTAGCATTCTGATAATATACGCATAAATAAAATAAACTAACGCGCTTTCTGATTTTTGAAGAGCACTCACACACATATTCTTCAAACATTTTTATCAATATAAATCACAGGTTCTCTGATACTCATTCCAATTTTTCAAAAGTAAAACATCTATACTTTACCTATGACATATGTATAATTGTATATATGACACTTATTTTGTTCTTCAAAATGTGTAATGCAATCAATTTTGGTCCTGTCTGAATTGATTTATTTGAGCCTATCTACAGACAACATAAGCACTTGTCAAACTATTTGAATTGATTTTGTCTGGTCTTTGGTTTTCTTTGTTGGGTTGGCTTTCTTTCTGCCTCTTCTCAGCCCTTGTTTCGGTCAGTTTGTTATTGGTTCTTCCTGGTTTGTGTCTCGAGTGGTCTTTGCTTTTCTCCTAGTGTGTTATCTGGTGGCAGGTTCTTGGTGCGGGAATGAGAATTGCATTCATGTAGGTAGCTGGCTTTTGGTTCCCTCTTGCAGTGAGTTATTGCTCAGATTTAGTTGGTTATTGGCTAACTTTTCCCCTCAGTTTTTGTCTTTCAAAACCGTTTGACTTTATTTTATCTATTGTTATAGAAATAGCTTATATATACAACTTATATGATAAGCACTAAATTAAGTTGTTTATCCAAACAATGCCTTTGTCTAAAAGGTCATCCTAATGATGAGAGGACAAAATCATCAAAAGAGGGTATGTATGCCATAGTTGAAGCAGAAAATGAGAAGACACTCCATATTGTGTTTAATCACATTGCCACTTTGGAGGATCATGTCACTTGTAAGAATAAATTGAAAAACACATCCCTCTGTATTGTCACAGAAAATGAAAGAAGCAAAATATATAAACAAACAAAAAGCTGATGGTGTTGAGTGAAATGAATACCCCAAGCATAAGCTCTTCCGTGATCATCAACAGCCAAACAATGCCACCCACCAATAGCCGCCTAACATAAGTTCAAAAGCACAACCATAACCACAAGTCAATAATCAATTAACATTACAGATTTGACTCCTCTAAAGTGAACAATTCAATTTAAGGCACATTGGCATTGAAACCAACGGTACCGCCGCAGAGGGTGGCACTTCAAAAATTGCCGATGGCATTTGGCAAAAAATCTGCCATGTCATTCCACCAAGGCCGCTATTTAACAACAATGTTTTAGACGATAAAATGTAAGTAACTCTGCAGTGATGAGAAATTCAATGGTTGATTGATATTTCAAACACATGCTTAATTTGTTTTATCAATTCAGCCCCTCAAATTTATCAAAAAATAAATCAGTCCCTTAAACGTAAGAACATCAATCAGCTTAGTCCCCCGCGGTCAAAACATCCATCAAAAGCAATGAAAGACTTACATATTAACTTAAATAGTCTCTTCCAACATCAAGACAAGCAAAGATCCTTCAAAATTGTACCGTTAAATTTGCAACAAAAAAAAAGACTAAACTAATTGGCGCTCAACTTAAAGGACTAAATTTATATTTTGATAATTTAAGGGAAATAAATTGACCGGTCCTTAAAATTTGGAGGACGGAAAATGATGATTTACTCATTAAACAACAACATAACAAAGATAGTCAAAATAAGAGTACCTGAACAATATGAACATGCGAGAGTGCTTTGACCTGGCTGGGAATGTTTTCAGTTTTGGTCTCCGCCGGGTGTCCAAGCGTCCCTCTTTGATTCCAACCCCATGTAAACAACTACACCAAGCAATAACAGTAAGAGAGAGAATCAAAAGAAAAACAAAATAAAGGGTTAAATTAACTATGATTACAGTCGCTATACAATTTTAGATCCTTTCAACTTTAATCCTACAAAAATTTTAAACATTTTTAGTCTTCACCTTTTATAAAAACAAAACAGTATGTAAGACTAAAAGTACTCAGTATAGGACTAACGTTTTGTTTAGAAAAACAACTTAATTAAGAGCTTATAAGCACTTATAGATAAGTGTATGTTTGGAATTGCGTTTACAACAACAAAATCACATCTCAGTGTTGTTTTAACATGAAAATCCAGACACCGGCAATTGCAACTTTAATCCAGACGTGCGTTTTTGGGTTTCAAAAGCTTAAGCAAACACATGCCAAGTGTTTGTTATATAAGTGCTTGTATAAACTACTTTTTATTGTAAAATATAAATAAAGCCAAATAGTTTTTTAGTATGTTCGAATTGATTTATTTAAGTTTATCTACTGTAATAAGCATTTGTGAGACTAGTTTGGATGGACTTATTTGAGCTTATCTACTGCAGTAAGTTTTGTGTCACTGATTGGGAAACTTAATCAAAACAGCTTATGACATTTTTCATAGATTTTTTTGAACTTATTTTTATAAATTCTTCGAAATAGCTAATGAAAACAATTTATAATAAATATAAAAACAATTTAAATTTATTTATTTTTTGTTATAAAAATAGGTTGTGCGAGCTTACTCATAAGTACTTATTTTGATAACTACTTATTTTAATAAGCACTTGTGCCATAAGTTGCAAATAAACTATTTATCCAAACAGGGCCTATGTGAGAACGCTTATAGAAACAGCTTATGACATGTCTATATATTGTAATCATAGACATAGGTGAAAACAGCTAATTAGGTAATGGAAAAAAAATGGAAAAAGAAAAGTGAAAGTGAAAGGTTTGCGAACCTTGCCATCATGAGAAATGGCGAGTGAGTTTCTGCTACCGGCGACAACAGAGCGAAGACGTTGAGAAGGGAGAGCTTTGACGGCACAAACCCATTCCTTATCTTCGTTGGTACCGATTCCTAATTGCCCATCTTCACCTGAGCCCCTGAAAAAAAAAAGGGATTTTGAAGTGTGTGTGAGAGAGAGAGAGAACAAGAAGAAGAAGATGAAGAAGAGAGAGAAAGAGAAAGAGAAAGAGATAGTGTTACCAGGCAATGATGTGGGAATTGGAATCCATGAGAGAGAAAGGGTTGAATTGAAGTGAGTGAGTGAGTTGTGAGTTGAGAATGTTTGAAAACAACAAGATACACAATTATATCTTTCTTCCTTTTATAAAATATTAAAATAATACTACCATCATTATTATTGGAATGGAACTTTAAAGGTGATTGCTAATTTTGACACTAATTTTTATTTTATTTTTTTAATTAATTTTTTTATTAATTAATATATAAGTTGTGTTAAAATGTATTTTCGAAGATGTTTAAGAAATTCATTTCTGAAATGAATTTAATCATAAAATATAGTGTAATTTGAAAATAAATGAATGGTAAGTGTGTGAGGTGTGTTTGAAAATATATTTTGAAAATTTAAAGATATTTTTTGAATTACACACTGTGCGTTAAAAGATAATGGAGTGCATTAAGAAATTTCTTAATTTTTAATGATATGTAAAAAAGAAAATATAGATAAATGTCATCTCAAACGTCGTCCATAAGCAAGGCAAGTGAGGTCTTTGCTTAGTGCCTTAAAGAAAATGTTATATTGTTGTCGTAGTTATGGCAGTTTTTTAATGCACTCTTATTAGTGGTGCATTCGGAAATGCATATCTGAAATGTGTGAAATTTCGGAGATGTATATTCGAATTGTGTCTAAATTTATAAAAAAATGATAGTTTCAAATATATATTTTCAAAACTAAGAAGTATTTTAATCATTTTGCATATGATCTCTAAGAAGGAGCAATGGTGCGTTAGAAAACTCCCCTAATTATTCTGTACAGTTGCAAGTGAGAAACTAAATAAGCACTTTGACATGTATTAGTACTATGTACATTGCACTTCAACTTGTCAAGCTTTTTAATGTTATAATTTCATTGATTAATATCACTTTCTCTTTCTCTTTCTCTCTTAGATTCAATGCATATAATGTTTGGTTTAATGGTTACATAATACAAAATCACGTTAAAAATTTATAGTAGCCTAGAAGTTTCTTTTGTAGTTTTTTATTTCATGGTGGAATTATCCATAATTGCACTGTGGGATTGCACAAACGCGTATCTAAACACACGCTAAATAATAGAACAAAACAATTCCTATAATTGTATGTTGCTTACTACTTGACTCTAGTGTTTTTTTCTCTTTCTCTACTTTCATTTCATTCCATCACTTTCATACTTTATCTCTCTCATTCTAGTTACTTTCATTTTTTCCATCACTTTCATACATTGTCTCTCTCTCATCTCTCATTCTAGTTTTAAAAAAAAAATCAAATGTTATCAAAAAAAGATGATAAAGAAAAAGGACAAAAAGAAGAACAACAAAGACAAGATTAAGAAAACATTACAAAAAAATAGATTTTATTTATTTAATATTTTATCATTTAATTTTTCTTTTTAACAATTTTATTTGTTTTAATTTTATTATTGGTGAATTTTATTTGTTTTATATTAGTGTGTTGCGTGTACAGTGAAATATTTATTATTTTATTTTCAAATAGAAGAATGTCAACTCCAAAATTTGAATTAGAAAGTTCAAAAATGAAGGGGAAAAAAGAATTGAATTTTTAGTTGAATAATAAAAGGGAGTTTTAGATAAATTTATCAAAACAAATTTAAAAAGTAAATTTGAAAATGTAGGTATCATTGAATGAACAAGTTAACAACAATGTAGAAGCTAACATTATAGACATGCACAAAAATGAAAAATGTATAGTTAATAGAAGAACTTAACAATGCAAATGAAGTTAACAACTTAGACAATGATGAAAAAACAAATAGTGATTTATTAGTAGAAGAATTTGATAGTGTAGACAATGCTAAAAATATACGTGATCTAAGTTATAGACAAATATTAGTACCAATTTGAGAGATTTATTAGTAGAAAAAAGTCTTCTTAAAGTTATTGATATATATTTTTTTAAGGATGAATCCTCAAGACATTTTTCTTTCTTATTTTATATTAAAAAATATCAAAATGAGAAAAACTTGAAAGAAGATGAATAGTATATTCTCAAGATTTGGATAAACTATTTTGTTTCTGTTGTAAATTGTTTAATACTCTTTCTAGTACAAGTAAATTAACAAGTTTTGGTATTAAGGATTGGAAAAATATGAGTTTTAAGTTGAGGATTCATGAGATGAGTAGTGAATACATCGTAAGTATGAATTTATGGGTTGACCTAGAAATAAGATTGTTAAAAAATAAAACAATTGAGTTACATGTTCAAAAACAAATAAATAGAGATAAAGAATATTGGAGAAATATTTTATTTAGAATAATTGCAATTGTTAAAACTCTTTGAAAAAGCAACTTAGCCTTTTGGGGAATAAATGAAAAGATTTATCAAGAGCATAATGAAAATTTCTTAAGTCTTATAAAATTGGCTGTTTAATTTGATCCTATAATGTAAGAACACATTCGTCGAATTAAAAATAAAGAAATTCATAATCATTGTCTTGGGCATAGGATACAAAATGAATTAATAAGTTTGATAGCAAATGAAATTAAAACTAAAATTATTCAAAAAAATTAAAAATGTAAAGTATTTTTCAATTATACTTTACTGCACTCCTGATATAAGCCATCAAGAGTAAATTACTACTACAAAAAGCGCTTTTAACGTCGGACGTGGAATGCGTTTTACCTCAGCTAATGAAGCAAAATAATGAAGGGCGTCATGAAAAATCGTCACTTAACATCTCGGTGAATTAAAAACGGATGGATAAAGTTATATGCACATGAGTTCGAACACCAGCAACAGCAAATTTTATTATTTTCAAAACTAGTGTATCTTTTATCTCTGTTTATCCAAATAACTGAGGGGTATGAATATTTATTTATTTTTTATAAAAATTATTACATTGTTTACTCAGAATATTACATTGTTTACCCTGAATATTAAAATTAAAATAAAAATCAAATTTCATAGGGGTCTAGATAAAAATCAAATTCTTTGAAGATTTAGACTTTAGATCTTCGAATTATTGAATCTAGATGAAGATCAAATAGTGGGTGCAAGATTATTCTCTACAGATCTTGCATGCATTTGTTTCTGATGAAAAAAATGGTAAGATAATTAATATCAATAATCAAAAATATTTTTCGATACAAATAAAATTTAATAAAACAAACTTTGAACCCAGATGATTTTCTGCTCTTGCAATTCATCGTAGAGAACTTTTCCAAGCGTCCTTAGGTTTCAAGCGCTTCATATGTTTCATTTAGGTTAGATTTCCAATATCGTAAGAGAACTTTTATAATGGATTTCATGTGGATCACTATTGACAAATTCTTGAGTGTTGATAACAATTAAATGGACGACAAAGATTTACTAAGGCTGGTGCATATAGGAAAAAAAATCTAAACTCTCACCTCAATCGTAACAAAACACTGAGGTAATGAGTATTTTTTGGCGAAAGGTTCCTGCTATCAATGAAAATATAGCGAAGCTGTTGAGAAGGGAGGGCTTTGACGACACAAACTCATTCCTTATCTTTGTTGGTGATGATACCTAATTGTCCATCTTCATCAGAGTCCCTATAAAAAAAGTGATTTTGAAGTGTGTGTGTGTGTGTGTGTGTGTGTGTGTGTGTGTGTGTGTGAGAGAGAGAGAGAGAGAGAGAGAGAGAACAAGAAGAAGAAGATGAAGAAGAGATAGAGAGAGAGAGAGAGAGAGAGAGAGAGTGTGTGTGTGTGTGTGTGTGTGTGTGTGTGTGTTACCATGCAATTATGTGGGAATTGGTATCCATGAGTGAGACAGAGAGAAAGAGAAAAAATTGAATTGAAGTGAGTGAGTGAGTTGAGTTGTGAGTTGAGAATGTTTGAAAACAACAAGATACACCAAAACCTACAATAATATATCTTTCTTCCTTTTATAAAATATTAAAATAATATTACCATCATTATTGAAACGGAATTTTAAACGTGATTGCTAATTTTGATATGAACTTTTATTTTTATTTTTAATAAAAAAATTTATTATTAATATATAAGCTTAAATGCATATTGGTCGCTTTAAAATAAATTTATTTATATTTTTTCTATTTAATATTTATTGGGTTTTTTTTATGTTTTTTATATTTGTATAGAAAAATTACATTCGCCTTTTTTGAATTTTGTTAAAATGACTTTGACACTTTCTATAATTTTAAAATATACAATAATATTTACTAAATTTATATATGCAGTAATAATTTTTAATGATATGCAAAAAAAAAAAACATAGATAAATGTCATATCAACTCCGGCCCATAAGCAAGGCAAGTGAGACCTTTGCTTAGGACCTCAAAGAAAATTTTGTATCGTTGTCTGTAATTAATCTGCATAGTTGCAAGTGAGAAACTAAAGAGGCACTTTGACATGTAATAGTATTATTTACATCGCACTTCAACTTGTAGAGCTTTTTAATGCTATAATTTCATTCATTAATGAGAATCTCTTAATACACTTTTATATGGGTGAAATAAATCTTTAAAAACTCCAAAATATCTTTCGGAGATACATCTCCCAACGCACCATAAATCAAATTTCAAGGTGTTTCAGAGATGCATCTCCGAAAACACCCTAAATTAATTTTCAAGGTGTTTCGGACATGTATCTCCGAAAACACCCATGTTTACACGTTATTATTATTTAAACATTGCATTTAAATATTCAGTGGTATTTTCGTATATGCATATCCAAAAATATTGTTGCTATATCAACTTGCTACATGATTACCCCTACCACTATTTCATTGTTTCGATTTCACCCCATAACCAAAACCTACCTCAAAACTTCAACAATTCTCAATCAAATTTTCGTCTCCAAACCAAGTTTCAAGTGTTTTATCATATCAAAGAGAGCATAGAAAGGTGCAATTTAAAGTAAACTTTCCTCATTTCATCTCTCATTTCCTTGCATTGATGTTGATCTTGAGATGAAAAAAACAACGTCACTTCGAATATGCATATCTGAAATCCACCTACTATATTTCGGATATGCATATCTGAAATTGTCACTGATACGAAAACAGTTTT